TTTATAATCCACTGATTTTTTCTTCAAGTTTCGAGATTTTTGAAGAAAAAAAAAATTGTAGACATTTTACAATTTAACTTAGAAACTTCAAAACCGAATGCTCTAAGATTTTGCAAACGTTTAAATTTATTGTTAATCAAAATTTACCTTTTTTTTCTCCCCAAAAACTTGACGTCATTTTAAAATTTTGATGCATAAATACTATGAAAGTTTGCAAAATATTATACTTGTCGATGCCTTAATATTTTATATTTGTTTGAACAGTGATTAAAAAAAAATAATAAAGCAGTTTATTTTGTCGATCAGATCAAGAAACATTACAAGACTGAATTGCAGTTATTATTAGTATTACACCGCATCACTTCAAATCGATATAGGTAGGTACGTGTCCTTTATAAAAAATTGATAACGTCATCACAAACTTTTCTTGTAAAAAATTCACTTGAAATATGCACCCAGCCTATAATTTAAACTCTACAAATGTCTTTATTTTAATCAAATTTTATAATTTGTCTATGGAATTGGATTTGTTTGATTGTGCTTCGGAATCGATTGAAGTTTTATCAAAATTACTTTAGACCTTTTTTTTTCTCTAAGTTGGTCTGAAAGCGGTAGAAAGTAAAAGTAATCAGCTTATAGCTTACAGCCGCCAGAGATCCTGCAGTTTTAATACATTATCTTTATGCTTACCGTTATTACAATAGATACAACGTAAAATGTAACTAAATGACATTTAAAAACTTTCGCACGAAACAATTTTAGAACTCTTATCTACAAAGCCCTGTATCGCTGAGGTTATTTTGAGTTATCAGATATAATATAAAATATACTGAACCGGTGACACGCATAACAATTACTTGACTAATTTTTGAAAGTAATGGCAGTTATATTTTATATTCAAATTGCCCACTTTCAATACTGCTGTGCTTATCTTTGATTATTTGCTTTGTTCAAATTCCCCGATTCAAGTCTTCTAAACTTTTTTATTAATGTATGTATATGTGGCTACATATGTTTTGGTACTTTAATTCGTGAGTACCATCATCAGGCCTATTGGTGAGTACCATCATCAGGCCACAGTTTAATACATAAGTTCAGAAGTCTTTTAATATGTTTATTATACAGGGCTTTTATAAACGATTCTAAGAGTGTAGTTGGCCCTTGATTTCAAAAATATCGCTTCGCTGAAATTATGCCTCATTATGACAGTTCTCACTTGTCACATTAATGTCATTTGTAACCTGTTATTTAAAGTCTTCGTTTTTATTGTTTTACCTAAACTGGTTTCTGTCTATTAAATGTCTGTTTATATTTATAAAAGTTGGCTGGTAGGAAAGCCATAATTGTATCCTGTATGTAAAATTGGTTGGGTAATACATTACCTCACCGAAATGTCAATTACCAACATTTGTCAATGAATAGAAAAGCAATAAATGTACTTAAGTAATTTTACCGGTTTTATTTAAATTGTTTATCGCTTCATTGGCTGCATTTTTAACATTTTCGGGCAATACGTCGCCTAAATCCATAATTTTTCTAATTCTGTTCACATTTTTTGTTTTAATAAACAACAAAATGTAACTATGACAGCGAAATATATCATGCAAATATGATCAACCAAATTTATTTATTTTTTTAATTAGTTTTTGGATTATTGGATTAAAATGGGCAGAAACCGATAAAATTTTGAACATACTACGGATGTAAATGGTGCCATAACCGCCTTAGTCGTCTTAAAATCCTCGCTAACGCTCGGATTTCAAACGGACGGGTGCGGCGGTTATGGGACTCTTTACATCCTAGTACAGCCCATAAAAAACACTAGTGGCTATACATCATATGTATGTTAATAGCTATTAGCGTTTTTCAAGTGCGAATTACAGTAATTCTCGTCGATCCAAGCTCAAAACAACAAAACACTCGTTATCAAAACTCTTGGTGGTTGCGTACGAAAATTTTGTTTTTGTGCGAGGAAGCAAAGACTGTAAAAATGGTTTATTCTGTTGAACAAGACACTTTCATCGTTATGTCTTGTTATTCCAATGCGACTTCGTAAACGAAGAGTGTATGTATTCTGTAACCATTTTTGTGTAAGAATATCTGGCCAAATATCGTGATTTTAATAATTCCAGAAACATCGTTGTTAAAGGCTCACATCAGAGATGTTTTCCACAGATTTGTTCGAACTGGCAGTGTCAACAGAGAGAAATCTCGTAGAAGACCTTCAGTATCTGAGGAATTTGTTAATAATTTGAGACGATTTAAGCAGAATAGAACAATTGAAGAACGGGTCTAAAGTATTGACGAAAGGATGTTACAGAACATTTTTGAAATTAAAAAGAGAATGAATATGTGCCTTGAACAAAATGATGAACATTTTCAACATTTACTGTGATGTTTAACCGCAATAAATTTGTTCTTTTTTTGTAATGAATTAATTTTATTTTTTTGTAAGTTATGACGCGTTCAGGCAACCACTTATACAGATGTGTGTTGTCTTTGTCATGCGTCCTTGGGCACTTAGTACAATCATGTACAGTTAAATCTGAGAGGCGGCACGTTTACATGACCTACTGCGACCCTATAATCATTTATAGAAACTCTGTATTAAATATCACTGAACAGCAATGGATCTCAACACATTATTATCAAAATATGTAATTAATTAATTTCTTTTTTTTATTTAATAGTGCTGTCGGTGCGAAACAATTGCCTGCGTCGCCGAGTTCAATTGTACACCCCTGACATTTTTGTCAAAATCTGACAAGTTATTGAAAATGGTTCGCTTTTCTTTAATTATTAAAACAGAAATCATTTAAACCTACGGAGAATGCCGTACAGACCTAGATGGAACAATCAGGACTCTTATCGAACGGTATCCCGATGACGAATTTACCAAATTCAAAGTACAGAGAATAATAAACTTATTTGAAGATACGGGAAGTGTACAAGACCTAAAACGAGTGAAAAAAACAAGATGTTAAATACACCTAGCAGAATTATTTCCATTCATGTTAGAATTAATTCCTGAACCTAAAGCAATTTTGCACTTTCGAAAAGGTTGTAGCCGAGCAACTGAAAATTAGTATTTTCTTAAAATTCATAAAATAACGCTTGGCAAACAGGTATCAAATTCCCGCAAGGGTGTCCAAAATGCGAGGAATGCAGTTTTTTGTTTCATAGCTACCTATCCTTTAATACTTTTTGGAATTATTTGCGCAATAATTTATCGTTTTTTGTCTAACCAGGCGTATTTTTCCTTAACCAGTAGTTATTTTTCATGTTTAATCAAGTGATACAGAGCTTATTTAATTCAAAATTAAATTAAGGCATGGAAAATTTACTTTTTCAAGATAATGATTATTACCTGAGTTATTGCGCCCGAAAGTGTTACGTGGGACACCCGGTATATGTATTACTAAGATGCTGCACACCAAGTTATCAAAAATTTTCGATATAAAACCTTCCTGAAATAATTTATTATATGTAGAAAGAAGGCCAAAAATCCTATATTTTCTAGTATAGGTTATTTATTGTTGTGCAGTATTTTTCAAAAACGATAGATTTAAATTTGCAAACTTATTTGTAAGCTCTTATTGCTTGACATCATAGTGACGTTACAACTGTATATCAGGTCCTGTAGAACAAACACGCATCGATGTGAAAGACACGATAGCAAAGATTTCACTTACAAATACGCTATGTTTGTGTCGGAACCCAATTTCTAATATATTAGTGTAAAGTTTTATTTTTTAGGCTACGTGAAATGGATCAGTTAAATCAAAAAGTTCTATTAGAGACAATTTGTAGAAACTCAATTAAATATTTGATTATAATTACTGTGGCGTCGCGCCGCAGGCTGTTCGAAGGACCGTATAACCGTGTCGTACACGGTACGAACACGGCAAGAAAAGAGTGTTGTTTTATAACTATATATTAATAGTGTGTAAATGTATGTACAGTTTGTCGACCGATCGCGTGTACTGCGAGGTGCGTTCTGTCTGGGTCCGTACCACCCCGGTGCCGTCGAAGGGTGGGTGGTGGGGTTGTACCGCTCTTGTGCCGTCGAAGGGTGGGTGGTGGTGTTGTACCGCTCTTGTGCAGGGCTGTACTGCGCAATTACATTTTTAATGCAACATTATACATACCACCAGGTGACGGACTCTAAGCTAGTCAGATATTTTATAAACTGGCCGTTAGTTGATTACAAATTATTTTCATCTCATGTTATTCAAAGGTCATTTACTCAGCCAGTTCTGTCGTCTTCAAAGAGGCGTCTTTTTATCTCTACTTCAAATATTATTTATTAAGTACAAAATATTGCGACAACAAGATTTATAAATGAGTTATTCTGTAGTTGCTTTACTTTCATGACGTAGTTTTTATTATGTAGTTTCAGTACAAAAATACTGTCAACTGTCTGCATGAACTAGGATTTTACTCCGATTAAGAATGTTAAATACTTAAATTTGGAACAATGCTTTAGTTTAAGTTTGATCTAACGACCGAAACTAGATTTACGTCCAACGAACTCGTATTTTAATTTAATAAATTGTCACGTCATGCAAAAAGAACTACTTTTTAAAGCTTTAAACGTGTTCTGAGAATCTCCAAATGTTTAAATTTACTCACTGTGTTTGTTTGCAATAGAATCCTTCTTTTTGTTTTTTACTTTTTACTTCCCGGGCGTAAGCTAAGGAGATACGTATAGTAATCGAGTCCATCGGCCGAATTGCTACTTTCATATGTTTTCGACTAACCGTAAGTTGTTATAATAACTGAAATGGTTAATATAGATTATAAAATAATGATTATTTAAATTTGTCATGGATTCAAACTAGAAATTCACAAAAATTATTTGAACAAATATAGAAAATAACTTTACAATTTATCAAGCAGTGACAAATTAAATTTTTAATAACAGTGATTGTAACTGTACTTCCGTATAATTGTTATTGACACCGACTATAACTTTGAAATGTTTCATTAAAACGTCAACATAAATAAATAAAACAATTTATTGATTACATATTGTAACACAAAATTCTACGAAATTTAATAATATACTTACTTAATTTGATTCGCATTAAATACTAATGGTATTGTCACAAATTTACACATAATCTTTACCCATCCTGCCTGTACGCAGTCACATTGATAGCTACAAACTAAAACTGAGTCCACAGTCTTGACCATTTTCTTTCTTGTTTATGTTGCTGTTGAAAACTTCTTCAGCTTTGATCGCACTATACACTGTTTTATTTTGTTCTCATATTGCAGTTCGTAACTCCATCTGTTCTTTACTTTAGAGTTTTTCACTTTTCGAGTTCATTTCAGCTCGTACGTTCCACTCAAGGAGTCGGTGCTGTAACAAACTGAAAAAAAGTTTTAAATTAATATGTATACTCGGTTTGGAAAGCATATATTTATATTAAAGCTATCTACACGAGGTAAAATATTTTCTAAATATATCTGATTTATTCTGTGATAAGAGATTGGATATTTTATTTTCAACTATACCTATAATAGTGAGAACTGATAACCTAATATTTACCAAAAACTTATTTTTTTGAGCACCGTAGATAGAATTTGTTGTTTTCTGTTTGTCTATTTGAATTCACACCTTATTTTGTTCCACACACAGACCGTATAGTGCCACAATAGGTGTTTCTACATTGGTTCTTCGTTAATTACAAAAAAAATATTGTTACTTTTATGTATGTGAAAAATTAATAACGTTTGCATTTTTATGCAATGAAAATGTATTTGTTCATTATTTGAAATTCAGCGGACGTTTATTTTGAGTTTGCAATATTACAGCTTTATATTTATATTTTAAGCGTCAGCAACGCACTCGCCAGTATCTCCCGTACTCATAGCTTTGAAATATCTACTAAATGTACACCACCATTTTTCATTTATTTTTCTTGCGTCCTCAACGACCAGTAATAATAACCTGACGGAACAAACGTCTGTAGTTCAGAAAATATTCTGCATGGTATATTAAAGGCGAACTTTTAAGTACATGTGAAAGACTCGAATATCATTTTAGTGATTATCTTTTGTTTTCAAAAATTAAACCTGGAATAATATTTTAGTGTTACGTTTTACATTGACAATTAACTGTATTTCTTAGTTATTATATTTAGTACAGGAAAAGATACATATAGTGACTACGTTATTATTCCTTCTTCTCTACAGATTTAAAAATAAACAAGTTAATTTACATTTTACTTTGATCTGAAACAGATGTTGGAAAGGCAACGATTAATTGCGAAAGAAGCAAAAGGAGAATACAAAAATTGCGTCAGTAATAAACTAATAACTGAACTTATTTGAAATACGAGAAAGTTCAGAAACACGGTTCTTAAATTTGAAACGTATCTAATTATTATCTATTAAAAGTGCAAAACTTAAATATTCTTACAGTAATTTTTTATATTTTAACAAAAAATTGGTCAAAGATTACTACAACAGAACTTTCCTTACTCTTAAAATATATCTAATCCGACAAATCCAGAAAATTATTAAATTTGATTTTGCGATTTTCGCTTTGTGATAACTTCTATAAATTAAAAACTAGCGGTATAAATAACACCTCCGCAGACTCTGTGCCATAGGAGCGCAAATTCATTCTTGGAATTTGCATCCCCAAGTAGGGACAATTAAAGCAGATAACCGCTAGGATAAAATGTACTCTCAGCACTAGTAACAAGCTTAAGTCACGTTTTTATGTTTATACATCGAAAGAATGTCACGTATAAAATAGTTTAATTTGAATGAGATGGTCTCCTCAAAACAGAGGACTAAAATTATTAATTAAACCACAACCGTGCAAAATATTTTAAATATTTATAATTCTTACTTTAATATTATTAAATAAAGAACTACGTATTCTCTCGTTTTCGAGAAAATGGGGTGACTCGTTCTTAATATGATCAATAAAAAATTAGAGAGTGATTAATTTTATTAAATTTATTTTATTTAACGAAAAAAAGGTGTTACGGTGGTTAGATAGATATATATATATTTTGATTAAAAATTTACCATGCTTATAACAACTTGAAAACATGTGTAAAATTTCACAGCATTCGGTTTTGCGGACTCAAAATTAAATTGCAAAATGTTGTTATATAATTTTGATTTTGTTCCAATAATGTGGACGTTTCGACTAAAAATTCATCTATACGTGTAGGACTATGTTATTGTATACAATTTAAAACCCATTTACTATGTACAATTTTGAAGTGACGTCATCACATTAGTGGTGAGGATGATTAAACAAAGTTTGGTTAGCGTTTTATCATCCACATGATATTCATAATGCACATAGGTATAAAATCTGACGACAATCGGTCCAGTAGTTGCGGAGATTATCTGTCTAACAAAAATCGTCAAAGACGACGGACAGACAGACAGACGGAAACGCGTGACCTATTTTTTTCGTACTCTAGGGGCATCATCCATCCAAAATATAAAAGCAACTAGCCGCCCGATGGACTCTCTTACAATACTTCCTTAGCTTACGCTCGGCATTGATTCATTCGGGAAGTAAAAATTTGAAAGCAAAACAATAATAAAAAATAAAAAATGTATAGTTATTTCAAGTTTAATACACATCAGAAATTAAGTCATTTATACTCATACTGTATGATACTTTAAGAAAGTGTGAACAAGTGCATGTGAACGTAACAACCTGATTATAAATTTTAAGCGAAAGATTGATTACATTGATATTGATGTGACATTTATTCCAACAGCGTAAGCTTTTGTGTTGATGTTATTTCAGTTAATCGTAAAGTTGTCGCTAATCAATCATTGTTATCTCAGTTGTGATATTTGAGTTTTATCTACAAACGGTTTTTACAATAATTGTGTTTTTCCAAGAAGCAAATACATAAATTTACTCTTAAAGTACATTGATAAATGTCAAAAATGACAAATGTAAAAATAAAAATAAGATTTTTAAAAAGTAAATGCGAAGTTTCGAAGAAAATTGGTAGAAGTTTAATTAATTTTATGACGTAAATTGAATTAAATTAGAGTAAATGTTCAAAATGTTGCTCACTTGTTGTTTGTATTGATGAGGCTGATACGTGTTTAAACTCCATATTAATTTTAATAATAATGAAAAAACTTTCAGAGTTTAAATAATATATTTGTAGTCACTGCTACACGTGTTTCGGTACACAGTACCGTCTTCAGGCAGAAGAGAAACTTGTTGTAAGCATAAATGAGTTCTTCATTTGACCCCGTTTATCACATGCCTGAACATATCTGCATTATCGTCTATGTCGTTAAAATAGTTATTCTGTTATTCTCAACCTTAATTCCTCTAAATTGTTGTCAGATTTTCCATAAATAGTGTTCTTTAAATACGGTCAAAGAAAAGTCTACGAGAGGAACACGGTAAGAGGTCGAGCGTCCTCTGATCTCTTGCGGTGTTCCTCTCGTAGACTTTTTTATTAGTATTTCACTTAATGATCGGATTCTCAAAAAAAAATCGGTAGCATTTCTCTTATCCTCTTAGCCGAATGCGCTGTAGCCCCGTCTTGTTGAAAATAACCTACTCCCATTTAATCGTCGCGAAGTTGTGGTATAAAAGTCTACCAAAATTTCTTGCTGATATCTACAATATGCAAATACGGTTCAGAGAAGAACTGTTTTTAATGCAAAGATTATTTATTTCTCCAGGAAACAACAAAAAGCAAGAAAACAAGACAAGGTTAGAAGGGACGTTTCATGTGACAGTTATTAATGTAACAGCGAGATTGATACATGAGTTGACGTAAAATTTAAAACAGAATTAAAAATTAAGTAGTTTGTAAGGATTTTAGTTATTGTCTTTTGGGTGTCTACTTTACATATCCACAAAATTATCGGCAATTAAAATTAATTTTAGAGAAGACAGGATAATGACTCGCTAACAAATTTTATTCCTCACCGGTTGTAATAACAGCTTACAAGTCAGACAACCTGAAGGATGGAGAAATTTTTCGTTGAAGTCATGTGTTTCAAATATTCAAACAAATAAGGAATTTGTAAAATACGTTTTCATTTTTAAAAAGATAACAATATTGCTACATGAATAAATTTAAAATCCATTTGGAACGTCAGTCTGAACCTACAGCCACATTGGTATTGTTTGAAACAAAAACACAGTTTTATTTATTCCGTTAAAAAAAATAAAAGCTTTGTGCCCACTATTCACACATTTTAATAAATTCATACTTTTTAAATAATTCAGTTACAAAGTTAAATGCATGCTGCTAAAACCGTTTATTGTTTCAAATTTTCTGTTGCTACAAAGTGTGGCATTAAGCAGTTTTTGTGCGGTTTATAATAAAAGCAGAATTTCGGTTAATAAGTGTACTTGCCTACCTTGCTCATTTACATGCGAGTAAATCCTAATGTGCATTCTGTATTTTAAAATACGTCATATGAAAACTGCTCGGAAATTGGTATAAGCGAAATGGTGATTTCACAGCAATACTTGTTAGGTTGTTATTACTAGCTTTAAAAAACTTCGAAAGACTACTAAATAGTACGGCATTTCATTATATTTCAAATGGAAATCTATATATAATTGTGCAATTGTTTTGTGCAAAAGGTCGAACGGATTATTAAATGGAACCTGAATTTAAAAATAAATCTTTGAATATGGAAAAAAGCGTATATGAAATTTTTTCATTAATAAAACCTTAACTCATGTGCAACTACCCAGTTGACTTTATGAATATTTTAAATTAAATGGAAATTAGATTTTTGTTTTTCAAATACACCCTTCTAAAACAGAGGCATAAATAAATTATTCTTTTATAAAAGAGTATCAAATTTGAGCGCTAAGGTATGTATAATCATTAATCAGTAACCACTAATGAGTATTTATTATACAAGTGTTCTATAAGGCAAATAAGTCGCGAAAAAAATGTTTAGCCACGAGAGCTTGCTCGAGTGGTCTAATTTTTCTTAAGGGACTTATTTGCTGTTAAGACACGACTGTAATATAGTCATAGGCATAGTTTTATCCAACACCTCCTACAGTAACAGTACTTAAAGCATCATGAAAATCTCAAAAATTCAATATCGTTAAAAGCTGCTAGCCTATGAATTGGTTCCCGTGTGGTTGCCACGACAAATTGTTTGTTTACGTCAAATTGAGAAAATTTTTGAAAAAGAAAACGGCTTCTGCACTCGTCATACCTATTGATCCAAATGGAAAGAAAACGTGCTCTTCCGGAAACTATTGCGAAAGATGTTTGTTACCGAAGAAATCCAGGGACGCTTATTACAAGGAATTAAATTACTTCAATAACTGGAAGCAAGAAAATAATGTTTCTGGTGTAAGCAAAGACGTGCTGTTGGGTTACTTTGT